GCATCTGACGCGTCTCGGCGAGGCGACAGATCCTTCACTCCCTGCACTCGCTCTTCGTTGTGCGACGGCATTCTGATTTAGGATAAAGTTTGCAGGTTGCCGGAACATTTAATTAGTTCTGAGTATCTAGGAACCGGAGGAAATTGGGCATTATAAGCGTGGGAAACGACGGCAGCCTGATCTGTTGATGAACTTGGTCTTTGGCTAATATTGATAGTCAAACCTGGTCGTTTGGTGGGCCTCCCTTCACATCATAGATGCGTGTGTATGTGAAGAACTGTTGGTTGTGTTGGTTGTGTTGGTCACAGCCTGATTGACAACAAAGCCCGCAGAAGTCATTCAATGCATTCATGATGGCTACCAAAACCGCTAACGATGCAAGCAGAACCGATTTGTTTGTATTTACTTTTCATCGTAAGTTAGGCAAGTACGCTGAGAGATCAGGTCAAGTCATTGATATATGCGATAAATTCAAGAAACTTTGGGGCATCGACAGTGCACCAACTTGCGAGGCACACTCATCCCTCTGCCAGCTGTCATACCACCCACATTTCAACAGAGAAGCGGAAACACCTGCCTGGGTGTAATTGGAGGATGCCGTGGGGGTAGCGTACGCGATTCCCATGCTGAATAAAGTGATTCGGTCTTTATCAGAATGCTGCGCCAGTTTTGGCAAGGAGTTCTTCGACTGCTAGGCTAGCGAAGTAGACCTCAAAATTATCGTTTGCGACCACTATGTTGTATGGCACAGTTCCTTGGGTAGTTTAGGTGGAAGAAAATGGATCTGCACTACAAATCCCTATCACTGTCCTCCGAAAAACCTGCTAAACCTATTCTGAGTCAGCTTCTCTGCTAGGGTGGCCCTTCAATCCCCCGTGACCGAGTTTCTTCACATTTGGCTTTCGATCACGTCGCTCTCGTCTAGACCCAATCCTCGGGGGTGCTATTATGCCTCTCCATATTTTTGTTATCTATCGGCCTCCGCGAGCTCCGGGCTTTTATTCCGAGGGTTGTTTCACATGGTAAAACTTTACCCAGGACTTTATGCTGAGGAGCAAGAATCGAGATATAGTCGTTTGTTCACCACGGGGTGGACCCGACGAGTTTAAAGACCCCTATATTCGAGCTTATCAACGATAAAAGCAGACTTGGAATATCCCATCACCCCTACGCTTTTGCATCACATACTTGTAAGCATTTACTTCTAGCTCCTAACCATTGTCTGTAACATGCCGTTAGAAAACCCACCGATTAGCTGCACGGATCCAATTTCAGTGGTCAAATGGACTGCCACTTTACGCTCATTCGATAATGTTGAATTCCCAAGATCGGGTTAAAGCATGGCGTGCTTGCTTCTGACTATTTCCGATAGACCGTACATGTACTCGACAGATATGAGAAGCTGATGTATCTTGCGGTGAGCTCGATCGTATACCAGTAGAATCAATATCTTGTGCAAAACCGAGATCCTATTCCAGGCTGATCCCTTTACCGAGAGCTTTTGCTGTTAGTATGGCTGACTGGGATATGCACTAATTGTCGATTCGACTTGGCTAGTCGCGGGATGGACCGCCCCGGATCTAAGCTGTTCTACTCTAAACAGATCTTCTGCTTTGCCTGTAACAAGGGCTAGCAATCTGGACTGAGAAGTCCAGCCCTACTCGGCAGGCCCAATCACAAGGGGAACGGCCGCGAGATGGAGGGTGAACTTGACAAAGGACCAATTATAACGATGTGACCACGCAATTGCGGGGTCTTGAAGATGAACTCCTTGACTATAAGAAGCGTACATCTCCCTGTGAGGCAGTAGAACTTACTCGCTTTCTTCCATCCTACATCATCATCTATCGTCAGGCCGTCAACTACTACGAACGAAGATAAGTGTAAGTATGGCCTCAATAGCACGGAGTACACGTACACCGGGCAGTCAAGTGACGCCTCCATAAATAACATCTTCTGTGCAGGATATCTAAACCGTATCATAGCCCGCGATCATAATCAGTTGTTCTCGTATACGTCGCGTAATCCTTATACACATACTCAAGTACTATAATACCATATAATCGGAAGATAGTGTAGTTCGAGAAGGTCGTCGCTTGGCAGGTCCCTTCCGCGAATCTTCGACGCGTCTTGAACACTTATCGGCACGTATCGTATTGTTCCCTTCGCGATTGGGCATGCAGATGTCGAACCAGAGCAACGAAATGGAATACTCCTTTGACGATAGCGTCAATCGGGATATTGATGTGCCAGATGCTGAAGCCTTGTCTGGGACCTCGTGCAACAGCGAAGATCCAGTTGTTACGACGATAGGGCTCTTAGCTACTGATGAGAATGAAGAACAGGTACAAGAGGTGATTGAGGATCTAGAGGGTAACGGGATACTCCGTCACCTGCGTGCTGTAGACAAGTACTTAAAACTAGGCGAGAATAGATCCCTTCTCAATAATCGACGTTTTCCAGACAGCGAAGGGAATGACCTCATGTGCAAGTCTGCTAAACATAGAGATACACTTGATCTTCTATGCGATATACATGATCTCCAGAGCTCGAATGAACCTGTTGCGGCCATGACGTATTTTCAGGACTACAATTATGCTATTTCTCATTTGGATCGTGCGAAATATCTTTTGCGTCAGTGGTTGGCTCAGCGATAAGGTGTAGGCCTTCAAATATGGAATAGATGAGGAGTTGAGCCGCAGTGGTTCATTTGCAGCAAAGTAAGTTTGATGCGCCTGTGGCTACCCTTGTGGATAGGGTGTTTGCAGCTCGGAAAGAGTGGTGGTAGTGGAGAAACACAGTTTGGATGTTGTCATGAGTTCAAGTATTTTGATGTTATATGAGGGACAGTACCGAGATTGTTATAATGATTTACTTAGTTATATGTTTCAGTTGATTGCAAAGCTAGGATGTCACGTATGAAATTGCCATACAGGGCGCGCGATACTATTGGGATTGTGATACCAGTAATCTAGAGGCACACAGTGAACGAGCATCCTCTCGGTCTTTGTTCCATACGTTTTGATGGAATCTTGATTACAGACACGACTAACCACAGGATAGGAGCTACAAGCCAAGACGCTAATTAGTGAAGAGGCCGGTAGATTACGAACGGCGATTAAGGCTTCCAAGTTCGCCAGGCTATCTAAACTAACGTCAATCTACCCGCAAATGCCAAGCTTCCGTGATATCTTACGGTCCATTGCTATTCTTATTCTAATCTTTTTGCGTCGGGTCAATTGACCTTCCATAAGCACATACCAAGCTAAGGCGTAGGGGTCCCGCGTTCTCCACGAGCTGTGGTCGTATGTGATACCTGAAGCACCGAATTGACTCATTTCAGAGAGAATTGCCGCAGAGGAAGTTGCTGCGGTCATTATGCTTCTTGACTGAATCATAAGGCTCTAGGAAGGCTGAACGGGGTGCTTCCATGCCTGATATGCTATCCAAGCTTGATACGAACTTACAGCAAGCGATGCTATTCCCAAGAGCACAGCAAAGATGACTCCGATGAGCGTAGCCATCATTACATGTCTCGCACCACTTTTTCTCTGCATGGACTGCTGGAGCCAGCCACGAGGTCGAGGGGTTTGAAGCTCGTTGTATAAGTCTGCCAGTCGTTCGGCTAAGTAGACATATGGAATGCTCTCTTCTCCCACACGTCTGACGGAACTGAATTCAAAGTTGAGGATGTCTGGATCGAAAGAGCATTTCGATATGAGTGAACGGAGAAGCTTCTTGGATCTTGGATCCGAAAGCGGGAACAGAGTTCCTTGTAGAGAGTCCAATATCTCAAGGACTAGTTGGCGTGGTAATACTCCTCTGCATACTGTAAGCAACCTGAGAGTTCTTGTTTGCATGGACCTTACCTCTTCAGCGAAGAAGACGGACTGGAACAATCTCCAGCATCCCGAGTCACTCTCAACTGTTCCTTCAGAAAGGTGGTGTAGTGGTAAACCTCGAGGTAGTTGTTTTTTCTATCAAAATGCAGGTGGTTGCGAATATCTGATGTCGCACTGATAGTGATACCCAGTCGTTTCTTCAGGTTGACGGCTCTGAGTTCCTTCTTTATATCCGCAAATAGCTCGCTATTGTTATAGCTTAGCACATTGTGATTACCAAGTGGAAACGAGTCTTGCACGTATTTGCTGAGAGGTACATCTTCTTTCCAGTGAATTCGATAGGTCCCTTTCTCGAGTCTGTCAGAAGAATGATGCAGTGCTGAAGGGTCGATCATCAGAAGTGCCTTCACGCCAAGTGCCACTGCATCGACTTGACTTGTTCCATCAGTCTGATGTGAGGTTGTATTCGTATTCGCACAAGTCAATCGGCACAGTTCCGATAGAGTTGCGTCCGGATTGGACTTTAAGATGGAAACGACCTGAAACAGATCCTCGTGTGTTTCTATGCGTCTTTCACTCGCAGTGGTTGCGTCCATGTACGCCGAAACAATTGCTTTGTAGTACGCAAAATATCGCTGAAGCTGAGGAATGCGACCGCCGATGCAGCGCTGATGGATACAGGCATGAGGTCGTCGTTCATTGCAGGACTGAGACAGATCCCATGACCACAAAGTCATCACTATGCCCAGATACACATCTTGACTGAATTCATTACTGATCCTTGATGCCATTGTATGTGGAAGATTAGAAACCGTGATGAGTTTCAAGACCTGGAATGCGCTTCGATTCAGAAAGTCAGGGGGAGAAACCTCGACATTATTGCAACTTTGTAGAAGACGGCCTGATGTAGAGTCTGGTTGCAGATCTAGGCTTGAAAATCGACTTCGGATTGGCGGTGGTGTAGTGATTGGTCGGATATGTGATACTCATGCAGCTACTTATGCAGTCTTGATGCTTAGCCACCGCCCTCGAAGCTGAGCCCCAAGCGCACTTGTCACGTCTTACATATGCTGCCTTCAACAGTTTGAACATTCTGTAGTCGGTCGAATCTTCTATCAACGTCAAGAAGTTTAATTGTACAAACTTCGATATGCCGAAATGACGACCGTTGAAAGATGGCAGGGGCAACTGCCGTCCCACCTGAGAGGCGGCGAGGGAAGTTCAACCCAGGTGGCTACCCAAGATAGCCCAGATGTCGAATGTACGGAAGGCCTGAGGCACAAGTTGTCAAACTGGCGAGCTTCTGTTCCTTTTCGCTCACCTCCAGATATCATATCGAAACCCGACCAACGAGTTGATCCCAAGACACCACAGTACGAGGAGTCTGATTCTGGTATCGGAATCACCACGCCATCATCTCAGGATGATCCAAACGAGCCTCCTGGCTTAGAGCTTCCCGGGGCTGATCTTAGGCATTTCGACAGGCCTGTCTCTGACCGCCTGAAAGCGCGATTCTTCGACATCAAAGTCCTGTACACCCAACCACTACTAGATTACATCCTCAAGAGGAAGAAGAACCCCGGAGATATCTCTATGAAGCTGAAATACCTGGGACTCAGTTCACTAAGCGCCCAACTTCATATCGTCATTCAATGCGAAAGAAAGATCGCCAAGAGAGTGAGAAAGTTCTTCGCGCAAGGTCATGTTGAAGAAGAGCTTTTGCCTGACTTTCGGGTGTTTGTGCTGGAAAAGGCACTCTTGCGACTGACGGATGACGAGGCGATAGAGGTTCTGGCAGACTCTGTGCCAGAGAGAACATGGTGTGGAACGCCCATCAGGCTGAGGCGAGGCAATGTGTCTGTCGTAGCGACTTTTGGTGGTATTATTGTGGTAGAAGCCACTCACAAGCGTCTAGTTGGCTTGACAGCTGCCCATTCTCTGAAGAAATTGCACAGCCCTCTATCTGATCAGCTCTTGACGCATGATAGAGAGGTGCCCTTCTCATCCTCATCCTCGGACGCTTCCGAGAGCGAAAGCGACTCTGATTGCGAGTCCACGATCACGACTGAAAGCTCAGTGCAGCATCCTGAGCACTTGGATGGCAAGGGACTGGACACCACTGCGTCTCAAAACACTTTGGAAATCGGTACCATAATTTGCAATACATTCGATACTCCAATGGCTCAAAACTATGACTGGGCTATTATTGATTTGAGCCAACAAGCGACATTACCTAATAGAGTTGTCCAAGTTGGACAGTCTGACTCGTCAGATTTTGAGGAAGAAGCCGACCTTGAACCCATCATATTCCCAGTTGGGAATCCTTGTGTATCAGTGTCTAGGCAAGTCATGGTACTAAAGAAAGGTGCCAAGCCGATTGGAGAGATGTCTCTTGACACTTCCTCTGTGCTGATATCCCCCGGATCATCGTTTGTTGAGGTCTATGATCTTGCCATGGAGCATGGCTCTTGTAAGTGAATTTGGGTACTCTGTTATAAACAGCCGACTAATGAGCCCCCAGCGTTAAATCCCGGTGACTCCGGCTCATGGGTAGTCGATGCGAAGACCTCGGTATTATATGGTCATGTTGTTTCAACTGATGCCTTTGGAGAGGCCCAAGTGATGCCCATTCGTTCGACTCTCGACAGTATTAAGGTGCAGATGAATGCCACACGGGTATTCCTGCCCAATATTGATGAGATCAAACTGTTGCAGGAGGAAGTGAGGAGTCAAGCACCAGCCAACCTAGAAATTTCACCGGTCACAGAAGCATGCGAAAAGCAGGAAGCTGCACAGGCAACTCGCCCAGAAGATATGAAGGGAGGCCAGTCTGTGTCATTCCCACCTTTCAAGGAAGCCCCTGGTGAGTCTTCGTCTAAGCCCGCACTATCTCAACAAGATATTGTTGCGCAGAGCCTCGAGATCGCTCGTGAAAGTCCTGACGGGGCTTCGTATCCTTCCATCAGAGAGATCCTTGAATCTGCCCTGGAAGAAATATGGGCCAAAGTACAGGATCAGCCTGACTCGTATATTATGACGAGAGATGAGTTTGCCGTCTTCAATTTCTTCCAGGGTCGCTTCGCCGGTGATAAAATGGCAATCTCTGCTCGAAAGAGATTTTGGGAAGCAGCAGCATCTGTAGACTCTTCAGAATCTACAAAGACCGAAAGTAGTGATCTTGCTCAGATTGACGCCATTCGGGAGCTGGTCCAGGCCTCATATCGACGCGCTGGTACACATGGCACAGATTTCGCCAACGTGGCTACTAAATTGTATAGACTTGAAATGACTCTTAGGCGGCTGCGAGATGAAGTCGCCGAGGAACGAAAAGAGTTGCCTATGCACATCCAACAATCCTACACAAATCATCTCCATTCACTAGTCGAGGATTGGGATTTCGCAATGAAGCGAGTCAATTCTTTACTTGATACGTATCATGAGGAGATAAGTCTTGCCGGGGAGGAGGGTTCCAAGAGTGGTGAACTGAAGCCCATAGAGCCTGTCTTAGCTGGTAAAAGGATGGCAATTGAGCTGCTACTAGACTCAATCCAGTTACAAAAGCCTCAAATTTACGATCAACACCAATCTTACCTCGAAGAAATCAAGGACAAGGTCGACCATATTGCTGCTCACCTTTTCGCCCACTGGAATGCTGAATCCTTTTCAGGAGGGAATGACGCTTTATGGCGACATTTCCAGCTACTGCTGGAGAAAGAAGGATTCTCTTCTCAAGTCCTAAGCAAAAAGAAGGTGAGCTATATAGAGTATTTGAAGCTCTTTGACTGATGCTGACATGGAGCAGGATATCCTCATGGCCTATATCAACGACCTTGGATATATTGCCGATACTACGACCAATAAACTCTCTCATGCCCCTAAATCCCTTGACAACCCTCTGGAAACTGTCCCTCGTGGCCAAAAGAGGCCAGGCATGGAGCCCAAGTTTGATGCAACTATACAAATGGATCTCATTACAACAAAGGACATTATTGCCCTTGATAAAAGGGATTCAGTCATGCAACAGATCCAAGCTAGGCTCGCATCAAGGGGGGCAGACACTCTACAACAGGCCTTGACAGCACAGGTTTCGCCAGTAGGAACTTATCTCCCAATGAAGAAAACATCACCAAGCTATGTCTCATTGCCCACACACAAACGTAATAACGATCGGCCCGGTCTTGCTCAATCCTCTCGACACATGGCCCCCGATCAATATGGCAGAAAAATAGCCGACGATGCCCATTGGACGAAGATATCACGCAAACTTGTCAGTGTCGAGGTTCTGCAACAAGCCGGCGTGCGATACGAAGCAAGACCAGATTATGTAGCCATACTTGGTAATTTATCCAGAGAACAGGTGGCAAAGCTCGTTCACGATAGTGAAGCGACGATAACCTCCCGTCCTCCACCGCCATATCTTGAAGGCGGAAGTTCTTCCGGGCAAGGACATCCTGTGTTCGCAAACATCGATGACGAAGAGGTGTCCTTCATCCCTCTGATCGAAGGCGGCGACAAGGATAACGCAGCTGTTCGAACACATCGCAGGGGGACTACCAAGACTCGTCATGGCGATGTCGCATGGTATCCCCCGCGCAAGGAGGCCGAAAAGAAGCAAGAAAAGTCCGGGCGTAAACAAGAGGCTTTATACGGAACCCAATTTGATGGGCCTGATGGGCCTATTATACGCACAAAACGCAACCCTTACAGGAGAAAGAATGGCAGGAGTGGACTTCATCACAGCGTAAGGTCCTATGATAAGGGTGTTCCAGGTGGTGTAGTTGGAATTGGCAGCGCTGCTGTAAGCTTGCTCAGTGTGCTATCTGAGGCTGCGTCAGCTATCTAGACACTGGATACGTGTTATTTACTGTTTTTAAGTTTGAATCTTAGTAGCCGTATGCAAATCGTGGATTGATATAAGAACGCGAAATTGAGGCGTCGAAGGTACAAACATAAACCTCGAGCCTATGTTACAGGGATCCTAGGCTGGCTTTACACAAATGCAGCCAAGCAAGTACGCTCTTTCGCAATGACCTGTATGCAACAGCTTTCCTTTCATATTCATTGCGATCTATTATTTCATACAAATTTTATTAAAACCGCTCTTAGCTCCACAATACATGACGTTTGGAGTAAGTCAGGAAGCATTAGATCCCGTTGCAACCAACTCTCCATCACCTGGCTTTCTAATACTTCCTACACAGCATACACTCCTTATCCATCACTTCTGAATTCCAGCTTTCATGTAGGATTCGTCGTCGGCTCCTGTGTTCCCATCCATCTCGTATATATCCGCTCTCTGTAGCTCCTCGTGAGCAGGATAAAAGTAGTATGTATCTTGTTACCCCAGTTAGCACCCTCACAACAGGAAATTCGAGAAATTACTTGCCAGATTTTCGTTTCCGTCTGATCAGAAAGTAAGTAATACCCAGCCCTATCAGCACTGCCCCAGCTACGGCACCAACAATGGCGCCGCCGATTATCGCACCAGAGGGTGAGCCCGAATTCGAACCAACCCCTTTATCTGTTCTTGAACTCTCAGATGCAGAGGGCTGTATAACCCCCGTAGTGTTCTCACACTTCTCTCCTATCTCTTCATCGAATACTCTCACGGGGCTTCTTTCTCGAGTAGCATTGGCTTGCCAGAGCGTAAAAGTCCCAGCATCGTGATTGACCATGAGATAGGCCGCTGTGAGGAAATATCTGCCGAGGATGGGCGGTTCGTCTTCAATGTCTGTTATGAGAATGTCGCGTTTGGAGGTATCGGTTGTTCGTGAGCCGTTGGAGGCGATGTCGACGGTGGGAATCATGTATTGGTTGTTTGGGACGCGGATCTTGAGGCCGGAGTCGAGATGAAAGGTCAGGTCTGCCAGGAACCTACGAGTGTCAGTGGTTTCGAGCATAATTGGAGATTGATACAACGTACTGCTTATCCAGGCCTGTCTGAAGAGCGTTCCAGTGCAGTCCACTAGACGAGTAATTCGTCTTCAAACCGCTGATAGACTCAAAATTTCGTATATACGGCGTCGGTGCTTCAAAAAGCAAATGATTCGCCGGATCGATACAGCACTGCAGCGTTGTCCCCTTGGGAAAGATGCTGACATTCGTTCCACCGAGATAATTGATCTGGATATCAGTCAAAGTCACCTTCATGCCAGTCCAGCACCCATCCGAGCCATCAAAATCCCCATATACAAGCGGCGCAGTGTAATTAGCACCAGTAACTTTCTTCTCGTCATAACCGCCCAGTATCATCAATCCGTCGAGAGGTTCTTTGATCCACATACGACCCCAGAATATGGACCATACTCGCGAACCAATCTTTCCCGCTTTGCGCAAGGCGTTGAGATACGTTGAATTACTGCCTAGACCAAGAGGACTTAGAGTGCTGTATGTATCATCCCATTTACTCGTCGGTATGCCAAAGGGAAAGTCGTCGAGATCGGCGGAACCTTCGAGATTGAAAGTGTCGACTGCGCCGTTTGCGCTTTCAACAAGGTTCCGAACTCCGTATTGCCCGCCTTTAAAGAATGTCTCGTCTGGTGCACCACCTGCTTTGACGATGTCCCTCGCTCCTGTGAAACTCGTGGACTTCTCTTCGTTGAATATTCCTCCTCTTCGGACTTTGCATGATTCGTCGTTTGGGATGCCTGAGTCTTTGCAGAATGGGTCGGCGTATATCCATGTATTATTCAGATCACTGTCCGTGTTAGTCGTATATAGTGATTATTGAAGTGGGAACGTACGCCCAAGGCAAAAGAACAGATTCTGAGGCGGTGTCCCTATTTTAGCCGGAATCCCTTTCATGAATGAGTTGGCGACATCTGGAAGGACTTGGACGTCTTGAAGTTGGAGAACTAAGGGCTCTGCGTCGCATGATGATGTGAGGGCCTTTTGCACGAAGAGAAATGTTAACAGAAATCGATACATCGCGAATTATGGTATTAAAAAAAGAAAGAAAATGGAATAATAAGTCAGTAGATCATGTTCATGAATGCGAGCAGAAAGCGCATCTTGTTATTTGTCGTTCAAAAAGACTCAGTGGCTCGTGCCTATTCTAACCAAAACCAACACCACGGCTCTCCAACCACTTACACAAGCCAAGTCTACTCAAAGAGCGCCGTCCCAATGACATATGTTCCCGGGACTCGGGCAAGGCGAAAGAATCACTTATGCTATGTATAGCATCAAAGCCAGGACTTCCACAAACGGAAATAGTCTCGTTTTAGGCTTCCGGACCATCAACCCTACGGAGTAAGCTAGGGTAGGATAGGTACCACCTCACAGGGATCAGGATAGGCTGGCTTATCACTACTGACTTTAACTCAATCCGTAAGCTGCAACAAAGAAGCCATTTCAGGACATCTTACACCTTTTTTGTTTTTTGTGTTTGTTTTTCTTTTCTTTGTCTCAGCACACCATGTTTCGTCGCCGTGCTTCAAGACGCCTCCCTTCACGGGTCGTGCTAATCGCTGCCTTTCTCACAACCCTCTTTCTATGGCGTCAATTATCGCACCAAAGCGGCGTGGTGTTTGCAAAGAGCTCTTTTGACTGGTCGACCGTAGGGCTTGTTCATCCGCCGGCGGATGTCAAGCCTTTACCTATTGGTCACGCAAAGCGCATGCCCAGAATCCAAGCTGAGAAGGGCAAATTTGTTAAGACGGAGGAGACTGAGAAGAGGAGAGATGCTGTGAAGAGGGAGTTTAGGAGAGGCTGGGAGTCGTATAGGTTGAAGGCCTGGGGGAGGGATGAGTTGATGCCGCTGACGGGACAGGCGAAGGATCCGTTTGGCGGGTGGGCTGCTTCGTTGGTTGATGCGCTGGACACCCTTTGGATAATGGATCTCAAAGCGGAATTCAACGAAGCTGCGAGTGCGGCCGCGGCGATAGATTGGGGGAAAACAGACGAGAAAGCAGTCAATCTCTTCGAAACGACAATTCGACATCTCGGCGGTCTTCTCAGCTCATATGAACTAAGTCGCGAACCAGCATTACTGCAAAAAGCCACAGAACTCGGAGAAATGCTATACATCGCCTTTGACACGCCAAACCGCCTTCCGGGATTCTGGCTTAATTTCGACGATGCGTTAAAGGGCAAGCAAGTTGCTGGTATTCACGACCCTTCAGCCTCACCGAGCTCGCTGGTCATGGAGTTTACCAAACTCTCACAACTAACCAACGATCCCAAATTCTACGACGCGACAGATCGTGTATCGCGGTTCTTACTCAGGATTCAGAACAGTACTCTTTTACCGGGAATGTGGCCCATGTGTCTTGACTTCCAGAACGAAGCTGTGCACGATAACACGTTTTCGCTTGGTGCGCTGGCTGATTCTCTATATGAGTATCTACCCAAGATGCATGCCCTACTCGGTGGGTTGGACGAGAACTACGAAACCATGTACCGCACGGCGGCGGATGTTATTATCAAGCATTTGCTCTACAGACCTATGCTGCCGAACCAAGAGGACGTGCTGTTCTTAGGTGATGCCAGGGTCGGTGAGAAGATCGAGTTGAGCACAGAGTCTCAACATCTCACCTGTTTCGCAGGAGGAATGTTTGCACTCGCTGGAAAACTCTTCAGTATCGCAGAACACGTTAATATTGGGGAAAGACTCGCACGAGGATGTGCTTGGGCATATAGCGCTTTTCCGACCGGTATAATGCCCGAGATCTTCGACCTAGTAGCCTGTCCGACCCTCTCACCCTGCGAATGGAACGAAACGCTCTGGAAGCCGCTAAATAACCAAAAACTCCCTCCTGGATTCCGCCACGCGCGCGATCCACGATATATTCTCCGACCTGAAGCTATCGAGAGTGTGTTCATCATGTATAGACTCACGGCTGATCCGAAGTGGCAGGATATGGCGTGGGATATGTTTCAGGCTGTTGTGAAGTATTCGAGCACTGAGCTTGCGAATGCGGCTGTTGATGATGTCACGAGTACGGAGACGTCGAAGACTGATTCTATGGAGGTGAGTTATTGACTTAATGATAGGGTGTGTGTGTGTGTGTGTGTGCTAACGGGAGTGTAGAGTTTTTGGTTCTCGGAGACGTTAAAGTACTTCTACCTGATCTTCTCAGAACCGGATTTGATCAGTTTGGATGAGTATGTGCTGAATACGGAGGCGCATCCTTTTAGAAGGCTTTTAAGTCGGGATTAAGGGATGGGACCTTGATCCTAAATGACAAAAAAAACTTAGGTAACCTAGCATAAGTTTAGTATACCTAAGTTAAGGATAAACTTAGGATATCTTTTGCTGGGTTTATTTTGATATCCTGTATCAAGGTCCGGCTTTATTGCTCCCCGAGGGGCGGTAGATTGCAATGATCTTCGCGCTGAGTGGACCACGCAGCCCGTGTCGGACAAGATATGCCTTTCATGGTCATCTTAACGAAATATAAATATTGATGATGATGTCTTGAAAGAATGCCTCTCTCTGAGCGCTTTTCCTACTGGTATGAGGCCCAAGATCTTCGATCTAATAGCCTGTCCGACCCTCTCACCCTACGAATGGAGTGTTGGATGTAGGAGAAAGTATCGCCCACATCGAGGCCTTTGGGTCCCATGTAGCATGCGTTCCATGACTCAATTCCTTCCTAAAGTTCCAGAGGTCATATTCCAAGAAGATTACCAGCATTCGTCAATATGTATCTGTTTTCCAAGTTCTTTGGAATACCTTTGTAATCGAGTCGCAATGTTCATGAACGAGGTCACTCATTGGGCGATGCTGGTGTTTCACCTCTTTGTCCTACACCTCGAAATAGCAACTCGAGGCCATGGCAATAAGGCCTTGACCGGATCTGATGTATTGGCCAAAGAAAAAATACGAATGTGTTCGTTATTGTCGAGGTTCTCAATGACTTCGCCATGGTAATTTAGGATTCCCATTCTCATGGCCTTCGAAGCAGATATACCAAAGGAAGTATATAGCTCCCCATAACCACCATTCCCATTCGCAACCCATAAATCAATTTCAAGCAAAATTACCAACATTTCTATAAACGACCATCTTTTTTTTTCCTCCTCCTGACCCTCACCCTCAGCACTCTCGCTACCCCACCTCCCTCCCTCAACACAACCTCCCTCTCCCAGCACCATCCCTCCCGCATCGCACCGCGCTTCATCTCAGGCGGTTTCTACGACAAGTGCAAAGACGTGCGTTTCTACCTCGCAAAAGCAGGCGACACACATCCCCGCAAGAACAGCTTCACCGGGTACAAGTCCTCCCCGTGGCTCGTCGCCAAATGTCCTGATAAGAACGGTAAGTATCTTTGTACGTGGTTGGCGCTGAGTAAGTGTTTGCTTAATTCGGAGGGAGAGCTGTATCGTGGTGCAAAGTAAGTGTTCTCACTGTTTATTGTTTTTTGGATGATGGCTGATGAGAGTGGTAGTGGCAATTTTCACGGGTCGTGTACGGCGTGTAAGTTGACGGGAAGCAACTTCAACTGCGGGTGCTGGAGTGGTTTGAAGAAGGGCAAGAATGACTTCGGGAACCGAGTTCATCGAACGAGCATCGACTTGAGTATATTTTCTCCTTCCGGATATGATGGTTTGTTGCTAACTTGCGATAGATGTTGCTGTTGGCGCTGTTGATGGGTATTTGACCTGTCATGGGAATTGGGGAATCCTCGATTATTGCAGTGGAAGGCCATCGCATGATCCCTTTCTAGATTCCAAGTGATGATCTTGCATCAAGAGTTCTTGTTTTTCGTTAACGGATTTGCTGCCTTTTTCTGTGTTGTGTTTTTAGTCGCATTCGGTCTGTTTTTACCCTTCTTCACATTCATTCTTATAGCTTCGTTTTCTCTCGCAATTGGCATCGCATCGCTTGTTGTATATTAGACCTGAATATTTAGTTTTGCTTCTCCTCTTTGTTGCCGCCATCGATTCGTTGATTCAACCAACTCCGGACATCCCTTCAGCAACCATCCCCATTTCTTCAGAAATCCCACACTGACCTCCCAGCTCTTCCCATCATGTGCCTCTCCCCAAACAATCAGATAAGCATCATCCAAACCCTGGCTACTCATCAGTCCCAGGATGTCAATACACAGCTCATCTTCATCAAATACACCGCTCGTGTATCCCTTTAGCATGTTATCTCGCAATTGAGGGAACGGCAGTAAATCGACCCAAGGATGATGCTCAATCTCGATCTGTAGCTTTGTTGGCCGTAAAGATTCGGGACATGAGGACTTCACCAAGGTACCGTCTGCGGACGAGGGACCTAGCGCGTTCCAGGGCGATATCACATCGTCGCAGCATAATCCCTGCAGCGGGATACCGATGTGAACTGCATTGCTCGACACGGCATTAACGGCGTTGAGACGGATAAGCGAAGGTAGAAGCGCCGGACGATGGTTCTTTAGACTATGTTGCATGTGTACAAGTTGCATGAATGCATATGCAACAGCACGTTCTCTGGCAGTAGTGAATATGAGGATTCCATTCGTGTGGACTTCTTCGGGGGTGACATTGGCATATTCCTCATTCCGAGCCTTCCGTTTACCTGCTAGAGTCAGTTTTTACTTCAATGAACAGTACAGTATAGCAAAACACAGTATGTATGGGGGGTAGTAGGGGACTGACGATAAGCTCTCTGGTTCAGGCGGTTCTGGCGTCTCCGTCTATCCCTCGCCTCAGTGATCCCCGTCCAATCATCATCTGGGTCCTTGAGCTCCGTTAACTGGGGCAGCTGGCCGTGACGTTTCGGAGCCGGCGGTTGAGTAAGCTCTGCCATCGGGATTCTTACGTGAAGAGTGCAAGATTAGTTAGACCCTTCAATACTCGGTCAAGACTTTTTATGTACTTGGATGACGAGGAAATTGTAAACTCCGGGAGGGAAAGAAGAGGGAGTTTATTACTGAGCGGTAGAGATAAAAGACTACGTAGACCTCGGGCTGTTTATTGCTTACAATTGATGGTTT